TGATGATGATGATGATGATGATGATGATGGTGGTGGTGGTGGTGCTGGTGCTGGTGGTGATGATGATGTACAGCAAGGTGCACAACTCTTTTCAGGCTGAAAGCTGCATTTGGCTTGGAGGTTGCATTCCAGAATGTAGCAGGCAAAGAATTCTAATTTCAATTCATTTACATTTAAGCACAAGGAAATCTAATGAACGTTATTACTCTCCAGACTTGTATTTAAACATGTTCCCCTTGATATCCAATTTGATACTTTTTTGAAGCCTCAAGGGACTGCCTCTAAGGCTTTGAGGGACCAAGTTCAGCTCTGGCACATCAGGTTATGCTCCTCTGATCTACAACAATGATTTTAAAGGACTGCTAAATGGAACAGTTCTTCTTTGTTTTTGAGCCAAATGTACTTGATTCCAGTTGGGCAAGGAATTGCTTTTTGCTTTTTTATCCTCCTGCCCTGCAGAGAACATCTGGGTGAAATTCACCTGGTGGAACAGGGCATTCCTGCACTTCCTCTAATCACAAAATGACCAAGAAGCCTTTGGGAATGTCCTGTCTTCTATTGTGAAGACAGCTTTCCAAAACTCCACAATTTCCCAGACTTCCCCCATCTCAATTAAATACCAAAGGAAGACAGGTTTTTTTCAAGATCGGAAAGTGGGAGCTGATTGGACAGATTTTATTGTGCAGTTGCCATGCCTCAGTCAAGGTCCTGGGAATTGATTTGGGGAATCTAGACCTCAACTTAGCTTTCCACAGGTACCCTTACCCTGTTTCCCCAGTCAATCTTCTTTGTTTTTACTCTTCCTCCACCAATTCATTCAGGAGAAAAAGACAGAATGGTAGTGCTAGGGAACTGAAATTGCACACAGTCTTCACAGATAGTCTATTCTGTGACAAAATACACAGGCCTATCATCTTTTTGGCTAGTTTTGCCAATTGCAATAATTTTATGGGCACAGTAAACTCAAGTTACTCTTCTATGTATGATTACTCTAAAGCTCCATTACTCAATGGAAGACTCTTTTGATTGTATGCATGCTAAATGCCATCTCCGGGACAAAGTTTCATTAGCTTAGAGCAACTTTCTTCAGTTGTGGCGCTTCTGAAGTCCTGGGCAACAGTCCCCATATTTCCCAATCATGGACATTTGACTGGGAATTATGGGGGTGAAAATTCAACATCATAGGAAGATGAAATTCAGGGAGGTTCTTTTAGAGGTGAAGGGTCATCCCTCTACTCCCCACTGCTGCTTGTAGCTGGGTCTAGAACCAAAACTCCAGGCATCCACAAAGCCCCACATGGAATTTTCCTTCCTTACTACAGGTAATCCTCAACATATGACCACAATTGGGACCAGCACTTCCATCTCTAAGCGATGCAGTCATTAACTGAGTCACGCCTAATTTTATTACCTTCTTTGCCATGGTCGTTAAGCGAATCCAGCTTCCCCCATTGACTTTGCTTATTGGAAGTCCCCTGGGAAGGTTGCAAATAGAGATCACATGACCATGGGATGCTGCAACTGTCATAAATACATGCCAATTGCCAAGCACCCAAATTTTGATTATGTGACCACAGGGACACTGCGATGGTCGTAAGTGCGAGGACTGGTCATGAATCACTTTTTTCAGTGCCATCATAAATTTGAATGGTCGTTAAACTAATGGTTGTAAGCTGAAGACTACCTGTACCTCCCACAATAAACCTCCCCTATGCAGGATAGTGGATAAGAATGGCATTCTTCTCTGTCCCTTACCAGCTGCGGGTCCCAATTCAGAATCACAGGATGGAGGCCGATGCGGCTCTAGGGCAGGAGAGACTGTGAAGCGAGAGAATCTCAGGGTGTCCACAAGGCTGGACTCAGCCCTCTTGGCTGATGGCAGCAAGGCAGGTGTCATGGGCACCGGTGAAGACAGGACTGGGTGCGGCTGGGCTGTGCTGGGGTCTGACACCATGGAGACATAGGATGGGTTCTGAGCCATGAGGGGGAAATCGTCATCCCACTCAAAACTGCCACCTGAGTTGAGAAGGAAGAAGAGGGAAGGTAGGAAGGAAGCTAGATTGGAGCCAACCCAAGTGTAAAGAGAAGATAAAAATATAATCAGTCGCTCTGACATGAGACATGCTTAATCCTCAATCTGGCTGGATTCACACAACATGCTAAACCAGACTAAAATAGTATGTTGTATGACCAGGCCATTATACTAGACCATTATCTGATTTATTTGTTGGGGCACAGTATGTTGCTTTTTATGAGCAAAGTGACTGTGTTTTGTTTACCCAGGTTTAGGTTCCACACATTGTGTGAAGCCAGGCTTTGAGTCACTGTTAAGTAGGAGACAGAACAGGAACTAGACAGCTGCAGAAAGATTTCTTTTGTAGTGCTTAGATGCATCAGAAGGAAAAAAAATAGCAATGCGTAGATTTTCCCTATGTTATTAATTCTTAATTCCTCCAATTTGCTCAACTCTGTCTCATGTTCCTCTGCTCTGCAGCTCCCATTTAACAAGTTAATTTCAGTATGGGAACATAATCACTTTTTCATTGCTTTCAGTTCTTTAGATCAATTAGCATTTTCACAGACATATATGCATTTCACAAACACCTGAATAATGAACTATGTTCACACACACACTGATAGAATATGTAAGATGAAGTTCTTTCTGCAACTAAATTTTACTGGTGTACCCATGCTTTGTAAAACATCTCATTAAAAAAAATCTTCCCATCATCTCCAAGTTCTGGCTTCTCCTTCTTCCATTAGGATAGGAAGAAATTTGGAGACTTGTATTGGAAAATCCTGACAGCAACTTCCCTCTTAGTTCACTGACACTGAAATGATTTGCTGTGCAGATTCTGCCAAAATGAATGGGGGTTCTAGTTCCTCACACTTGATCTTATAGGCCAACGGAGGTCACCTCAGGGCTATTTAGGCTTCCTAAAGCATCTCTTAAATCAAGCAGGATTAATGTCTGGCTGCCCCTAAAGACAACTTGTCAGACAGGAAAGACAGATGCCAAAGTGTGTTCTGAATATAGGAAGCTCCATAAATCCTTTGCCTCACTCTCCGTCACTGAACGAATCTCTGGGAAACCCTTCTGAGTGCTGGGAAAGCCACTATTAAGTCATGGAGAGCACCAGAATGGGGCCAATTCCACATAAGGAATTTAACACTGAATTTATGACACTATTTGTCACAATTCATGGCACAGGCTACTGGTACATGTGACTTTCAAGACAGAAGAAAAATTCAGGGATAGGATGATGAATGGCATTTAGTGATGAAGTCTAGAGAAGCTCAAGATCTCATGAGCAACAGTGACAACTGATTACTGGCTCAGTGCAATCAGCTGGTCATCTCACTTGAATTCTCTATGGATGGTGGTCTGGAGAGAGGGAAAGAGAAAGGCAAACAGACAGGACATCTCTGTTGTGGCCAGGCTATTTTCAGCTGTGATTTAGGCTTGCAGTAATTATAACTGAGCTTAGATTACATGCTTAATTTAATTACCGGGTTAGCACAATGCACTGAGTATAAACTAACTAGAAGGGCTGCCTTACTTAGCTTAGCAAATCCTCAAGAAACACCAACAACAACAGAAGATTAAAATGAGCTGAGGTCAGTGTGTTATGCACCTGAAGCTACTACATCTTGAAGCATGTTATGTGAACTCGGCTTGTTTTTGAGAAGTAGAGGACTGATTAGGATGGTCAGCTCCCAGAAGTTAATAAATTGTGAAAGATTCCAGAAGGCTTCAGAGGATTTTATGGCAGGCATTTAGGTTGAAGTCTTACTCATTCTATGGATTAAACAAATGGTCCTGAATGAGTACAGGAGTGGTCAGGCGTTGTTATGGAAGCCTGTGAGACTGTGGTGGCCACAAGAGTCTTTGCTCAACATTGGCTTGTATACAATTTGCACCTTTCCTGGCAGATCTGCTCCTTATCACTCACAACTATCTACATTTAGGATGAACCATTATATGGGACCGCTTTTGAAATATGTTTGAAAATTCCAGCAGGTGTAAAATCATCATCCAGAGTGGTCCACTACATAGTAGTCTTATGTTGATCTTCAGTTTGCTTTCAGATAAAGTATTAGTGGCTGCCTATATGTCCCTAAATCAAGGTACAAATGACCAGGTTCCAATTATCCTGCTTCAGACACATTATGTGAAGCCTTAGCTCTCTGGAGAAGGCTCTAATGCTGGGAAAGGTGGAAGGAATGAGAAGAAGAGGACCCCCAGCAGCAAAATGGATGGACTCAGTTACATTAGTGATGGGTGCACCTTTGGAAGACCTGAAAGACCAAGTTAGGGATAGATCGTCACGGTGAAAATCTATCTATGTGGTCACTAAGAGTCAATACCGACTTGATGACAATCAATCTATCAATCATACAGTATGTCCCTAAACATCAGGGACCAGATTGTCAGAAGAATTACTTCTTCCCATGTTAACTAGCTAACAGTCTGTGTTCAACTTCAGAGTCCCTTCTTTATGTTCTACCAAGTTTTAGTGACATTCTTGACAATAACAGAAGAACAAACCTTCCAGGTATCACACCCAGGCAGTGGAATGTCTTCTCTAAAGAAGCTTGGCCAGCCACCTCTCTTTTTTGGAAAACAGAGAGTAATATATAACCTGTGTCTTTAATCTAACTTTCAGCTCTGTGAAACTATTTTTCCAACAGAGACTGCTATTTTACATTCTTCTTGGCTGCTGTTTTAGTTATGTACTGACCTTCTAATTGTTGTTTTTATTTCATTTTTTAGATTAATGTATCTTGAGTCCTACAGGGGAAGTTACACTTCCTAAAATAGGAAGGAATTTTAAAAATTGGGTGTACATCCATCATTGGGCTCTTGCCACAGCACACAGCAGAATTAGTTTTTTTAATAACAAGGTGGAATCTGTGCCACCATCTGCCTAATTATGACAATTTTAGATTGTGAGCTTTCATGGAGGCAATAAAAATTGTATTCTAAAAATAAACTATGTGGAGATTAGTTTTTTTTAAAAAAATCAGCCAATGTCAGCATAATTATTATGCAACTTCTCCAAAATTTCTGATAACTGAAGCACGTTTATTTTAAGACGATAAAAAGCTTGCTTTATTTACTCTCACCCATGAAATGGGTTTAGATTGAAGAATGTAAAAGAATAATGGCTATCTTCAGAGACGTCCACTCACCATGTTTTCTGCATGTGTCTCCATGGAAGAAGACAGACCAAGGCAGAAATAAAAGTGAAGGTTCACCTGAGGGCTGGCAGTGTCTTTGCATTGGAGACAACCAAGTGATCCCAACCAACATATCGAAGGAAAGATACAGAGAAACATTATCTCTCCATCCCAGCAAAAACTGGGAGGAAAACATCTGTATCAATGCACTTAAATCCAGGGAGGGACAAAGTCTTGGTGGCTGGACTTAAAACATTTTTGAAGGGTTATGGACCACCCTAGATATAATACATTGGCCATGCCAGGAGTTTTTACATTTTTCCTGGTTTTCCTTATTTAAAAAAAAAACAACAAGTATATTTGAGGGTTTACTTTAGAGTTTTCACATGTATTTGCTCCCACAAATGTTGAGAAACTCTGGCCCAGTTTTTAGCAACTGCAGGCAGAGGGGACTTTTTGCAAAAAAAGGAGCTTGAGGCCACACAGGTTGCCCAGCCCTGCTTTAAACTGTGTTGAAATCAAACTATTATTTCTGATATTCTAAAAATATTACTTAAAATACTGCTAGTGTGTAAAAAATACGTAAGTATAATCAGGAACAGATCTTAGTGTATCTCCAATGTATCTCTTTCCTCAGTTCCTACTATCTAACAGTAGTAAAACAAAGTGCCCTAACAAACCAATTTTGAGAACCTGAAAGAGATGGCTGTCTAACCTCCACTTGATCACATCCAGTGAAGGGGAGATCATACTCTTTCTGGATCATTGGTTCCATGGTTGAACTGCTCTTATGGTTAGGAAGGTTTTTTCCTCCAACATTCATCCAGCCTCTACCTTTCTGTAACTTAAATCCATTATTCCCAATTAAGCACTCTGAAATGATAGAGAATCATTCTTCCTCTTCTACTATGTGATACTTTTTCAGATACTGGACCCATGTTCTCTTACTTTATCGCCACCACCACTATCCACCTTCTGTCTTCTCTTCTTAGAGCTAAAAGCTCCCGGTTTCTTCAGTCTCTTTTCACAGAACTTAGTTTCTTGTCCTTCAGTCTTCCTCACTACCCTTCTATGAAACAATTTTCTTAAAGTCTGGTGCCCAAAACTGAACACAACAGTTGAGATAGGATCTGACCAACAGGAAATAACGTGGAACTATATCTTGCCTGGCCATCATTTTATAGCTGGAAATCTCATCCCACTTTCAAGGGTAAATTCACCAATGCCATTTTTCCACCTCAAGTAAAACATCAAAATGATTTGCAACATTAAAAACACACACAAAGAGATGGTAGCACTATATCAATGAACAATGAAGATGAAGATGGGAGGCAGAGTAACAGCAGTTATTCTAGATTCTGCATACCCAAATCAACAACCTCAGAGTTTTGCTAACTACAGGAAAGCCAGGGGCAAGGAGAGTCTTGAACTGGGATTCTTGTCATCAAGGTCCTACACTTTTTTTCCTACATGCCCAGAAGGCTGAGTATATGTTTTCAGACTACACTGCCAACCTGGCACTGCAGAAATGGGATGGCTTCAGAGAATGGGATTTCCACCATATCTGAAAGTTGCCAAGTTGGGAAGGCTTGCCCTGAAAACATCATCTTAGATGTGTTACAAGCTTTCTGAAATCCCAAGACTGTCATCACTAAGGAACACTGCCCATACATTAAGTTTAAAGGTGGGCAATCTGCAGACCTCCTTCCCAGCATTCCCTTTGTGGGCACTCACTACCCCCAGTTTGCACTGCCAACATTCAGCAGCAAAAGGCACAAATCTCAGCAGTGACATTTCAGATTGTTTGATTAGGCATTTGATTCATTTAAAAATAGGGATAGGAGTGTTTCTCACACACCACTCTTTCTCATTCTCACAATAACCCATCCCCAAAACAAACAAATAAAAAATAGTCTTGCCCTTTCAGTAACACCGTAGCATCACTGAACAGTCTCCTCCAGCCTTCTAGAATGTACCTCATACATTGTCCACTCCTGTCCTAAAATGGTTAAGCATTTGAGTTTGGTCTTCTGTTGAAGCAAATGGTCATTAGGGTGAAGACTTTACTAACATTCTTGCTCCCTATTTTTGACTGATACCCAAGATCATGACCCTGCTAGACTAACTTTGCATCTGTTTCTAGCTGCCTGGATGCAACACAGATTGTGGTGGAAGATGGATGGATGGATGGATGGATGGATGGATGGATGGATGGATGGATGGATGGATGGATGGATGGATGGATGGATGGATGGATGGATGGATGGATGGATGGATGGATGGATGGATGGATGGATGGATGGATGGATGGATGGATGGATGGATGGATGGATGGATGGATGGATGGATGGATGGATGGATGGATGGATGGATGGATGGATGGATGGATGGATATCCTTCTGCTTGAGACCTTAATTCCCATCTGCATTTATCTAGTTCTAAACTTCATTTGCCTCTTCTTGAAACTGGCCTTTGCAGCTGTCTCTGGTCCCTTGGTCAGTCTTCCTTCAAAATCAACTTAACCTCTTTTGGACCGTATCCAGTCTACACCTGACAATTTGTTTGGCCCCAAACCTGTTCCTTTCTGAAGCCTGGCCCTTTACTTCTTTCACACACTACTTTCATATCACAAGCACTTGGATAGCTCAGCCTGCTTCCTCTCTGGCTCTGTAGCTGGATTGGCCTATCCCCCACTTGACATTTAAGGCTACTAGAGATAGGAGATATTTCTGACTTGCCCCAGTACTCACTGAAGCCATCAGCTGGTGGGAAAGCATCAAGTCCTGGTTCTGCTGCTGAGCCAGGAGAAGAGGCATCACCATCGGGGGCTCCCTGTGAACTCAGTTCATTGGTTGGTGTCTCCTACGTATAAACAAGGACAGGAATTAAAGTCCCTTTGAATTACCCACCTAAAGTCCCTCTGGACTGAGGCACAGTTCAATCAAATAAATATGAAAGAAAAATTATTCGTCAGAATGTGAAGGTTTAGCAATTGACTCTTTAAATTGTGGAATGGGAGAAGAGATAAGACTAGCAAGATGTGAACAGGGGGAAACACTGGGTTGTCAGGGCCTTCAGCTGCTGATGTAAACTACAAGGGAGAAACAAGCCTTCGTATTGCATGTCATCATTATGCAAGTATGTATGTATCCTTTCAACTATTGCAATACATCAAAGACATCTAACTGCTGGGGGAAAAAGCTATTATCCCAGAACATTGGCAAAACAGTTTCTATAAGGAGGCTTGAAAGGTCACCATGGCTGGGATTAAGGCAGACCCAAGAGGAAGTATGTGCTGTGTACACTGGCAGAGAATCTAAAGTGTGGGCAACTGGGTGGGAAGAAATAATCCAGGAGTTGCAGGAGGTAAGAGAGAGATGAGACCCAGGATACCTGAAAGGAGGAAGACAGTGTAGGCAGCTGCTTGGAAAAGGGACTTAAACAAGCCCCTCCTTATGCTACTGTGAACCAACTTTCATACCCTCCACCCTCATCCTCCTCACAGCTCACCTGATCAAAGAGGTAGACGGTGACATCATCAAAGAAGGAGACCATCTTTCGCTTGCGGTCAAACTCAGCCGCTGCCTCCTCAGCTGAGCGGGGTGACTTGAGGAGGCCACGCAAGTTGCGGGCATCATCACTTTCACTCACCACAATGGGGACGCCCCTCCCTCCGCTTCCAGCCAAGCCTCCTTCCTCATCTTCTTCAGCATCCTCTTCCTCTTCCTCTTCAGCTCCTAGGGAAGCCTCTCTCCCTCCCAGAGCTGGACCCTCCCCCAAAGCTGTTCCTTCCCAAAATGGTCCCTTCCTTGCTCCACCAGGAGGGGGGAACGTCTGCAAAGCCAGTGGCGGCAGTGACAGAGACAAACGGGATAGCTTGGCTGGAGGCAAAGGTTGGAGGACAAAGGTGAGGATTGCCAGAAGAAGGGAGGGTGATTGAAGAGCCAATGGTCAAAAGTCAAGAAGGACAAATAATATGGAAGCAAGCCAAGGATGAAAGGGTTGGGATGAAAGAGAGAGAGAGAGAATGTGTTATTTCACTAAAACTACATCCCTTGTATTTTTGCCCAGATATAACCTGATATGGGTTTGTCACATATATCGGTCCAAGATGAACGAATAGTTTACTCTAGTTTGATTACAAAACTGACCTTGGCCTGCAGACAACTAGTATCCATGGAAAAACTCACAGCAGAAGAACAAATCTGTAACAATTTCTGCAACTAATTCCTTTTTTTCCCTAACGCTAAGGATAGAACTATGTTGATCATGGTTAGATTAACAAACCAGCCTAGAATTGGTAATTTTTATTGTTTGTGACACTTGCCTATAAATCTGCCCTCCCCAAAATTAGAAGATTTTTTTTTTTTTTTGCAAAAAGCATACTTTGATTAGTAGAACATCCCCCCAAAAAGGCGTTTGCCAAGACTTTGGGCTGTGTTCATGTAGTCTATAGGGGGAAAAAAAGCTTTATAGCAAAAGTGAAGTAAAATTCAAAACAGGCCCACTGGATCAAGTGATCTTATCCGGTGTCCCCAAGTTAGGGAAAGGCTTTATTAACCCTTTCCTTCCTTCATTTAGGATTATTTTGAAGGCAAGGAGAGGACCTAATGGAACACTGGACCTGCTCCAGAGAACCACTGTGAGGGACATTGACAGGGAGCAGTAAAATAAGTCATAATGATGGCTGCAACTGTGCCATCAACGTTCTGCCCCTTTTAATATGAACTGCATATTAAAAAGGGTTGAGGTTTCAAAAATGTGTTTTAACCCCCCCTCTTAACCCCCCCCCCCCGCAAACATGCTCAGCCACTGCCACTTTCCCATTAAAACAGTGTTTTTAAATCTCCATAACATTAAGCCGTGTGAACGTTTTTCCATCCCATTTGTTACACGAACGTGTCTTCCTATTACTGCCACCCCCAAGTGTAGATCAGAACTTTACCTTTGATATCTTCACTGGCTTGGTTCACAGGGACCCCAGGCTCCTGCTCCTTTTTGAGCTGGTCAGTTGCTACATAAGTGTCTTCCTGAGCATCTTGTGATTGTTCCACATTGGCCATGGGTTCACTTTGGATCTCAATATGGATAGATTTTTCTCCCTCTTTCCTTTCTTCTTCCTTCCATTCGAGCTGCTTCTCTTCAGATTCTCTACTTCCTTCCTTCTTTTGCTGTTGCTGCTGTTTTTCCTCCTCTTCCTCCTCCTCTTCTTCTGCTTTATCTTCCACACTCTCTGACCATTGGGAATGCACCATTTCCTCAAAGTGACTTTTTTCCTCCTTCTCTTCTTCTTTTTCTCTTTCTTCTTCTCCTCCTCTTCCTCCTTCTTTTTCCTTCTCTTCCTCCTCTACAGTCTGCTGTGTCTCCTCTGGCTCCAGATTCCACAGCTTGAGAACAGCCTGGTCTTTCAAGGGGGCAATTGGTGAAAAACCCAATTTTGGCACCCTCTGGCTGCAAAGTAGATTCCGCGTGACATTCTCCTGCAATGTGACCAACAGCTGTTCTTTGCACACCTGAACCACAAAGCCTCCATCTACAATTGTCTTCTCTGAAGGCTTTTCCTCCTCAGTTCTGGTTACAGCTGGTGCCTCAGAGGATTCTGGCTCCCCATCAGAGAAGTAGGCAGAATCACGGTGAGGGGTTGTAAGCCCCAAACTCCTCCCTACCTCTTCTTCAAGTTCAGTCCCTTCTTCACTCACCGAGAGTGTGAGATCACTAGTGGACTGAGAGATGGGTGTTGCTGGGAGTTTGCCAGTATCATCTTCTGCTTCTATTTCTTCCTCTTCTCCAGAAGGTGATAGAGGTGATTCCTCTTTAAATATGAACTCAGGTGAAAAGGTGCTCTCTGTTTCATAACCACTGTCCCCAAATTTTTGTCCTGGAGAGGAGTAGTGGGAGGCTGGGCTGCAGACATCTGAGGAACTCGTATTAGAAGGAATGTCCAAGGAATCCACAGAGTCTAGGGTTCCCCTTTGCCGATCGGGTGCAGCTGGGGAGAGGTTCAGGGTTGCAGGGCCAGTTGAAAATCCATCAATAGCTTCTGGAAGAATTGCAATAGTCTCCTCATCATTACTCTCAGCCAGAGTGGACAATGGTGGTATTTCTACAGGGACAATCACATTGCAGCACCCAGATGACATAGTTGGGAAGGGCGATCCAGGTGGACGGATGTTTCCCCCACCTCTCTGCTTTGGGTAATCTTGAAGTTCGTAAGTCTTCACAGCTGTGCCCATGAGTGGGTCATAAAATTCACTGTGCTCCCCAGCATCTCCATCACAGTCTCTAGGGGGTACTATAGAACAGTCAGACAGGGAGCCCCGCTCCACTTTGAGTGAGGAGTCATCCTCAGTGCCATAGCTATCCCGGTGAGGACGCCTCAAAGGTGGACCATGGTTGCTCCAACTGCTTACCACATCCCCTCGAGGAATGGCACATGTGCAACGCACCCGAGTGCACAGTGGACATGGCAGAAGGTTGCGCCGCCCTCCTCCAATGCTGCTTCCACCGTCATCAGTGCTACTGCCAGAACTGTGATCCTCCATCAGTGAAGGTTCCTGCTCCCATGAGGGTGACCCCTGGAACTCTGAGGGGTCCCCAGCAAGAGTCTCCCCTGCCCCTCGTTCTTCCATCATTTCAGCATCCCAGCTACGCTGCTGATCCTCCAATTCACGATACACAGTGAGTAGTGATTCTGCAAGGAATGCTTCACCCTCTGTGGCTGGCATCTCTGTCAGCGATGTCTCTTGAATCTCACCATCTACACGGAAAGGATTGCTTTCACCGCTGCCCCCAGTCAAGAAAGGGTTAGTATTAGGCTGCTCTGGTGGCCGAAGGGGGGCATTGTGGCAATCCCAATCTGAGGGAAAGAGGGGCTGTGGTGCTGAACCAGGGCTGGGGGCACAGACTGGCCCCTCGCCACTACCGTGGTCCTCCAGGCGAATGTAATATTCACTGCTGACGGAAGGGCTGCGGGCACTGATTACAGGCACAACACTGGGTGTCTCCAGACTGTGCCCACGGTGTACTGCCTGTTCATAGAAAGGGTTGCTGCCAGGCACAGCTAGCCCACCATTGCTGGAGGGGTATTCAGGTGGTGCTGAGGCAGGACCCTTCCATCGCCCCAGCCGGGCCTTCTCCCACATATACTCAAAGTTCAGCCCTCCACTGCTTTCAGTCACAGTCAGGATGTCATCCATGTCACCACCATGGAATCCATCCAGGAGTGGGTAGGCTGAGATCTCTTCTGACGGGCAGTGATGGCGTGCTGAAGAAGAGGAGGCCGGTGGTGGGGAAGAGGAACGCATGGGTTTCAGGGCACTCCAGCGCCACTCAAAACTCTCCTCTGCCTGAGCATTGGAGCGCTCATTCAACAGGTAGCTCACCTGCAAATGCAGCTCTTCCATGGTTGGGCGATGGAAAGCTGGGAGCCAGCATGATTGCATCACCTCATACCTGCAGTGGGGCAGGGTTGGAAGGAGGATAGAGGAACAGTCGGAAAAACAGGCAGAAATAGGAGGAAAAAAACACAGTTGTGGGAAGATAGCCCGAAAGGATAGCTAAGGGTGGGCAGTGGGGATCGGGAACATTTAAAACAAAAAAGTGTTGCAAAAGAACAGTTGGAAAAGAGGAAGAGTTAGAAACACTACAGAGTAGCAAAAGGAAAAGCCAGCGTAGAAACAGATACGCAAAATAGAAAGAGCTTGAATACTACAACAAGAGAAGGTATAGTAGAACAATCAACCAGTAAAAAGTTAAGCAAAGCAGATCCAAACACCATTCCGAAGCCACGGCACAGACATTCAGGAGTACAAGAGGACATGGAAAACCAGTCACAAGAATGACAGGGGAGTGGCCATGACATCAGGAGAATAAAATGGGTGAGGAGTAGAACAGTTGGAAATGCAGACCATGATGGGTCTTGGGGAATTGTTATAACATAGGAGAGCTACCTTATACAGCACTGAACCATTGGCCCATCTAATCTTACCAGCGGAAGAGGAGCATGCCCCAGCCTAAAGAGAGAATGAACGGCCATCTGTTGGAGATGCTGAAGTCAACAGCATCCCCTTGCAGGGAGGTGGGGGGAGGAAGGTCAAAATGATGCAAGCATTACTGCAGCATCTCAACACATTCTATGTACAATGTCATGCACTAACCCCAAAGGAACTTTCACCTGCAGACACCACTAGCTGTTGTGGTGGATTCTTGCACCAGGCAGGTGGTTGGACTAGATCTCCAAGTTCCCTTCCCCCCCTTACACTCAATGATTCTAGAATTCAAACTGGTACCTTACAGATGTGTTGGATACGATGTCCATCTCCCCTAAGCCACAAGAAGATGGATATTGTAATTCAACACATCTAGGTGCTGGACAGAGTTGCATTCACACAATGCACTTCTGGTTTACTGAATCAATCCATTTTTCTGGTGTGACAAAATGCATTGAATCATAAACTAGCTAAGTGGGCTGGGCTCCTATAACATGCTAAGCCCTTAAAAAAAGAAACATAGACAAGGTTAGCTGTAATTAAGCTTAGCATGTTGCACAAACATTGCTGTTCTATCTTTTATTGACCTGATTAAGCACGTTGTTAAGTCTGACAGCATCTCTTCAGGGTTTCTGAAGGAGTCCTCTCCACAGATGGCAGGGCCTAAACTTCTGTACGGAAAGCAAACACTCAATCGCTCATCCAGAGGGATTCCTTTTGGGGTAGCAACATCAATGGCGTCCACAGCAAACTCTGAGGACACCAAATGACAACGTACGTGTGCTGACATCACCAGGCAAACGCTGCCCTTACATGCTTGCCTCCCAACACTTGTTGCCAGAATGTAAAGTGGCGGCATGTGCGTAATGATGTCACCATGCACAGATCCTCTGCCCCTTTTGCCCAATTCAGCATATTCCACAGCAATTGTAAAGGCAGAGATCAAATTGATCCTTTGGGAGAGGAGGGTCCATACACAGGTGCAGTCCACTCATGGAAAGGGAGAGTAGATAGGCTTCCAATTCAAAACATAGTTTCAAAGAAAGGAAACAGGTTCTGCAATTGTTTGGTCATTTTTACAGAAAGCATCATGCTTTTATTTGATTTGTCTGATTTATATCCCAGGGCCTTTCTTCCAGGAGCTCAAGGTAATACACACTTCACACTCCATCCTCCATTTTTCCCCACAACACAATAGTGAAGTAGGTTGTGCTGAAAGAAACTGATTGGTCCAAAGTCACCCAAGGACCTTCAGTGGCCTTGAACCTAGTCCAATATACAATCGCACAGACCACACTGGTTCTCCTGTCCTGTGCTTTTCACCCTTTTAAAAATGTTTAATTTTAAATTGAAGGCCATGGCTTAAAAGGTTATTTCACCAAACTTGGGAGCAGGCAGGGCTGCTATGACTATCCGTCTGGATGAATAAAGATTTGTAATAGTGTTTTTGGAAAGTCTGTCTCCCAGCGCATATGGTGGTTTTATAATATATGATCCTGGGTTATTATTATGTATTTATTTTAACCCAAATTTCAGATTTGGGGAGTTACATGATGCTCAGATATGGTTGACTAGAGAAGCCTATAAGTCCTGTAAATAAATTATTTAAGTACCAGATTTCTGGTTACGGGGCTCTCCATAAGGCACTACATGTTTGCACGCCACCCATATCAAAATAGGTTTCTGTTGGTGTCACAAACAAAGATTGATCTGCTTTTGTGTATAAATAATATTTGGCATAGAAAGAACACCTATAAAAAAACCCTCACTGTTTTTATATTATTTCACTGCATTCTTCCTTTCCTGATTTTTTGGTAAGTTTGCACTGAATGTTACCATGGAATATAATAATAATACTGCTCCTAGAAAAATATTTAAAACATCTGAAAGGAAATCCTCAGCCCAGATTAGCAGCTCAGACAATTGCTGACCGATATAGAAAGCTGTAGACAATCAATTAGCTGACGTGAGCTAGGAAGGACAGGAAAAGAAAAAATGGAAAAAGAGGTCACAGTTGAAGAAAGCCCTGCCAGATTGACAGTGCAGAGAGAGAAATGGGTGGACAGAGGAACAGTCAGAGGAATACAGAGAGGGGAGAATGGAAGAACATTAGGAGAAATGAGAATGCTAAGACAAGCATCATAAAGTTCAGGGACAACATTCCAGGCTACAAAGTATCCATGAAACCACAGCAGATGTCTGCCAAGGGTGGAGGGGGCCCTGGCATCTGCAGGGGGGGGCAAAGGAAGCCATCTGTGCCAGGGTATCATTACACAAATGATGCAAATTGTGCACATGCACATCATTTGCACAATGATGTTAATGGCACTTGTGATATCGTTGTGGCTTTGTGATGGAATGTGAGGGTGACCTTGGAAGACCGGGGGGGGGGGAAGAGATGCTGCCTATGGAACAATCAGATAAAAGAGAAAGGAGTCCGCAACAGAGTAACAGCCAGAGAAAGAAACTTAGGAAGGACCCAACCTAACTACTCAGGTAGTAAATAGGGAGGGTGGGAGATTTGTACTTTCAGACTTGCAAGATTGATGACAGCCCTCCCAGGTAAACCAGGCAGGAAACACGACTAGAAGAGCAAATTCTACTTCACTGTAAGGCTACATTAACAGAATCTTGCAAATCGGAATGTACAAATCTCCTG